CCCACCTGCAGGCACAGCGACTGGCCTATGGGGCGAGGCACAGCGACTGGCCCATGGAAGAAGCTCGGTCCTGATGCTACCGGCTGACCCCTAGCAGGTATCGCCCAGCTGCTGAAGCAGGTGTAGCACCTGCTGGTGGGTGCAGCTCCCGCATGTTCCCTCGTTGAGCATCAGTTCTTGCATGTTCCCTCGTTGAGCATGGATGTGGCTGCTACGGGGTTCCCTGTAATATACTATATAACCCCTGTAAGAAAAAAGGCCTGAAAGGTCGTCCTGTCCAGATTTGACACGTAATTGAATTAGTTGAGCACAGAATTAGCCGTTAAAAAAGAGTGCATGTCTTACTTTCAAAAGAAAAGGAAAAAGGGGAGAAAAAAAAAGAAGAAAGGACTGCGAATCACTACACTGTACACGGCGAATGTCCAACCTCCGTACCCATCAAACTGATCCGCCGTCTTTTTTTTCCCTCCCCTTCCGGCTTTTCGCGCGCCTCGCTCTCCTGCCAAGCCGTTCCTCTGCCTACTCTGCCTTCCCTACGTCTCCTTGCTGCCTTCCTTTTTTTTTTCTTTTTTTTTTTGACCATTTCTCGATTTATGCGTGTCATCCTTGCGCAGGGGACATTTGCTAATCTACCCTTCTCTGTATCGTTCCAATTTTAACGGATGTCCCGAAGGACCCTTGCTGCCTTCTAGCTGCATCGGCATTTTCCTGTCCTCTACTCCTCCTCGTTCTCGACTCCCAACCGTCTTTCCCCGAACATAACGTACCCTGATAATGAATGTACAAGCTCCACGATCTCAACTCCCAACCGTCTTCCCCCAACATAACGCACCCTGATAATGAATGTATACAAGCTATGTTTCCGGTCCGGTACAGCCAAAACGAGGTTGCGTTGAGTTGGGGGGAAGACGGTAGTGGACCTGAATCTCTCCTTCTTGCCCCATTTCTACCTTTCGTCCTGGTCATCCCATGTCTCGCCTTCTCCCTCCTACCAGGAGACAATGCATCAATCGCCCAGAGAAGTTGCTTCATTCCTCCATAACTTCCTTTCTTTTCCTCCCTCTCCTCCCTCTCCTCTCTCTCCTCCTCTCCCGTCTTCTTCTTCTTCTTCTTCTTCTTCTTCTTCTTCTTCTTCTTTTCTCCCCCTCCTTCTCC